CACTTGTTTTGTTTGTTTACTGTTTGTCTCTCTTGATTGGAAGGAGAGCTCCACAGGGAAAGAAGCTTGTCTACCTTCTTCATCACTGTTTTCCTCAATGTCTAGAGTAAAACCTAGCATGGAGCAGATGTTTCATAAATGGTAAAGAAATAAATACAACCACAAAATGAACTTTTATGTAGCTATCATAGTCTGATTTACCAAGAAATTCTAATGATTTGAGAAAATTCTTAAGATACGTGGCTCTTTTCGCTGTGAATTGTACAAGACTGTTGAATCACAGATCTGCACCTCTGAAACAAATAATGCAATATATGTTAAGAAAAAAAAAGAAGAAGATAGCAGGAGGGGAAGAATGAAGGGGAGTAAATTGGAGGGGGAGACGAACCATGAGAGACGATGGACTCTGAAAAACAAACTGAGGGTTCTAGAGGGGAGGGGGGTGGGGGGATGGGTTAGCCTGGTGAAGGGTATTAAAAAGGGCACATTCTGCGTGGAGCACTGGGTGTTATGCACAAACAATGAATCTTGGAACACTACATCAAAACTAATGATGTAATGTATGGTGATTAACACAACAATAAAAAAATTAAAAAAATTATTAAAAAAAAGAACATAGGAAATAAAACACTCAATTGTACCTCTCTTGAAGTCCAAATTGTAATGTCATGATGTAAGAATCATCGTACTCTTAATGATCTGGTACTACATAATATTTCATATCCATATCTCATGTAAGGTGTGTGTATATAACCTAAGATATATGATTTTTGAAGTAATCTGAGAATAAAAGAAAAATGGGTGAAGAGTGTTATAATATTAAACTTCCATGGTTTTAAAATTGCCTGGAAAATAAACTAGACTTGAGTGTTTTAAAATGAACTTAGAAAAGCCTTAAAATCTCTCTTTCCGCTGTCCCACATAGAAAAACCAGCAAATACTATCTAGATTGTACACAAGCATCAATGGTTTGGTTCATCATTTTATCAATGTAGTAGCTAAGTGGGCTCAGCAAATAGAAAACAGAGACAAGTCTTTTTTAAAAAAAATTTATTTATTTACTTATTTGACAGAGAGAGACACAACGAGAGAGTGAACACAAGCAAGGGCAGTGGTAGAGGGAGAAGCAGGCTTCCCACGG